AATATCGTATGTCTAGGAGATGAGATACAGCTTTTTAAACAAAAAAAAATATTCTCCCGAGAAAATATTTTTTTACAACTAAACTTTTAGAGTATCTTGGCTGAAAGTACTTCCACTGTTTCTTCACCCTAAAAAGAAGTTTTGAGGAAAATTTCAGCAAGTTCATATGTCTAGGAGATGAGATACAGCGTTTTAAACAAAAAAAATATTCTCCTGAGAAAAAAAATTTTTTGAAAACTTTTACAGTATCTTGGCTGAAATTACTTCCACTGTTTTTTCACCCTAAAAAGAAGTTTTGAAGAAAATTTCAGCAATATCGTATGTCTAGGAGATGAGATACAGCTTTTTAAACAAAAAAAAATTCTCCCGAGAAAATATTTTTTTACAACTAAACTATTAGAGTATCTTGACTGATAGTGGAAGTAATTTCAACCAAGATACTCTAATAGTTTAGTTGTAAAAAAATATTTTCTCTGGAGAATATTTTTTTTTGTTTAAAAAGCTGTATCTCATCTCCTAGACATACGATATTGCTGAAATTTTCCTCACTACTTCTTTTTAGGGTGAAGATATAGTGGAAGTAATTTCAGCCAAGATACTCTTAACAGTTTAGTTGTAAAAAAATATTTTCTCGGGAGAATATTTTTTTGTTTAAAAAGCTGTATCTCATCTCCTAGACATACGATATTGCTGAAATTTTCTTCAAAACTTCTTTTTAGGGTGAAGAAACAGTGGAAGTAATTTCAGCCAAGATACTCTAAAAGTTTGGTTTTAAAAAAATATTTTCTCGGGAAAATATTTTTTTTTTGTTTAAAAAGCTGTATCTCATCTCCTAGACATACGATATTGCTGAAATTTTCTTCAAAACTTCTTTTTAGGGTGAAGAAACAGTGGAAGTTATTTCAGCCAAGATACTCTAAAAGTTTAGTTTTAAAAAAATATTTTCTCAGGATAATATTTTTTTTTTGTTTATAAAGCTGTATCTCATCTCCTAGACATACGAAATTGCTGAAATGTTCCTCAATACTTCTTTTTAGGGTGAAGAAATAGTGGAAGTAATTTCAGCCAAGATACTCTAATAGTTCAGTTGTAAAAAAATATTTTCTCTCAGGAGAAAGATTATTTGTTTTTTAAAAAAGCTTTATCTCATCTCCTACACATACGAAATTGATGAAATTTTTCCCAGAACTTCTTTTTAGGGTGAAGAAATAGTGGGTGTTATTTCAGCCAAGATACTCTAATACTTTAGTTGAAAAAAAAAAATTGTCTCAAGAGAATGTCGGCTGCTAGTTTCAGTTTCATCTACAGTTTTTGTTCTCAGGCTTGTATTTTATACACAATGCCATTTATCTATGATTCTTCTTATACCTGCATGCAGAGTCTCAGCCCGATCGGTTTAAAATTGACAAAGTTTCATACAAACTTTCATTCCCTATTTTATTCCCTTGGGGGTAGAATCAAAATCCTTTCTTAGCGGATGCCTACGTCATAACAGATATGCAGGTAGACTGCATGCCATGGGGGCGGAGCCGTGGTAGAATCCCTAACGGGGACCCTGCGGCTCCGCACTAGGCAGTGTAGAGGTATTCGCAGGACTTTTTTAGCGGATATTATGCTGTAAAGCGCCCGTAAGAGTTGCGGGGTCCTCGGTGGGTAGCCACTGGGGGGTCCGTAAGACTTGCGGGTGCCAGGTGTGAGGTCCGTTCGGCGGTGTGCCTCTTAGAGGCGCCGTCGTCTGTAAAAAGATTTTTTACCTGCGTTATAAAAAAAAAAAAAAAAAAAAGGTAGACTGCATGCCAAATTTCAGCCCGATCCGTCCAGTGGTTTGGGTTGTACGTTGATAGATCACTATGTCAGTCAGTCACCTTTGAGTTTTATATATATAGATATATAGATTCAGTACGTCTGGGAATCGGATAACATCTATTTTTCATCCCCCTAAATGTGAAGGTCCACCCTTAATTTTTTTTTGGACAAAATTTACTGTTTTTGTTTTTGTATGATACTTACATCATAGAAAAAAATGGGTGCGTGTACTTATGTAGGCGCGTGAGAAGTTATCCTTCTTTGGCATCGTTTAAAATTAGTTTTTAATTGCATGCAAATAATTAATTACAATAAATTAATAAAAAGTTTGGAAAAGGAAACAGTCAATAAAGTTCAGTTTTAATTTGAAAAAATAAATAAATAATCAAAATATTCAATTAAAATCGCTACTGAATATAATTTATTACAACGTATGTGATTTGCACTTGTATGAAACTCAAACACGTATTCCGAATATACAAACTAGAAACATGTGGATAAATATTATAAATATGAATACCTATAACTGTTACTTTATTACAAAAAATAAAGATGTGGTTTTTGGTTCTACTACACCAATGGTCAAGAGATGGCGCTGTAGTCTCCTGAATCGCGCTTTGGTTCCGTTGTTCCAGATTAATAAATACTTTTGATAGGCCTTCTCAATGCAGTCGTTAGCACCCACTAAATAGAGATTCTATTTCTATTTTGTTGGTAGATTTTCTTAATGTGCGGTAAACACAAAAGTAACGCATGAAGTTGGTGCTGCCAACCAACTTCATGCTGTTAAAATTTTGTGTTACAGTGATGCGCGCGCATCTTAAAATTTCACTCTCATCATTTTTTCATAACGCGCCTAAAGAAGTATAACTTCAAAAATACATACAACGCTCAATTTTCACCCTTCTACCACCAACCCCTATTTTTAACGGCGGTACGAAGTTCGCTGGGACAGCTAGTATATGTATATTTATTGAATTGAATGCATTCTCTTTTAGAGCTATGACGCGGTGTGATAAAGGGTATTTCCCACCGTCGGAGTTGACCTCATGCCAGAGGTTTTCCTTGTTTGTTTGTGTCTGATCTAACAACGATTGTAGTAGCATTGTCGAGATTCATCATACTATGAGGGATTCGGTGCGGTTCTTTTTATTGTCTACTACTGGCCCGCCCTCGCTTTGCTTCGGTGTAGAGCTGTAGTGTAGACTACAGTTTTTGTTATCAGGCTTGTATTATACACAATGACATTCATCTATGATTCTTCTTATACCTGCATGCAAAGTCTCAGCCCGATCGGTTTAAAATTGACAAAGTTTCATTCGATTGATCAAAATTCTTTCTTAGCGGATGCCTACGTCATAGCATCTACCTGCATGCCAAATTTCAGCCCGATCCGTCCAGTGGTTTGAGCTGTGCGTTGATAGATCACTGTGTCAGTCAGTCACCTTTGAGTTTTATGTATATATATATATATAGACTAGTGGCCCGCCCTCGCTTTGCTTCGGTGTAGAGCTGTAGTGTAGACCATAGTTTCTGATCAAAGGCTTGTATTATACACAATGACTTTCTTCATAATTATTATAATCCTTCCATTCCAAGTAAAAAATTCGTTGCGTAGTTTAGGACCCGTTGTACCGAATGCAACATTGCTCTGCTGTTCCGATTTGAAAAAATATTTTTGTATTGGATAGTGCATTTATCGAGGAAGGCTATAGGCTATATATTACCAGGCTACGACCAGTAGCAGCGGAGCATCGATGAAAAATGTTGCAAAAACGGGTAAAAATATTTCATTTGTGAGACTCCGTTGCGTGCGCTGGGTAAAAAGTTAAAGTTACACAAAAATTGTGTATGACGGAATTCTTCCTCTTTAAAAGTTCTGTAAAAAAGTCCACGACAGCCTATGTCCATATTTTAAGTTTGACTCGCTATAAACCTTTTTCTTCAAATTAACGCGGGTGAAACCGCAGGGGACCTCTAGTTGTGATATAACTGTAATAGTTAGACATATGGTATCGCGGACTTTTTTGTAGATATTGATGGTATCCTCTATAAAACTTTAGTACATCACTTTGCTCTATTGTCAATGACTTCCGCAGCGTACGCGATATAAGGTTATTTTTTGGTATTTTTTACACACGTTGAGTTAAATTATCGAAGTTTTCATACGGAACCCTTTTTTGAAAATACACTATAGCCTATATTAATCAGTGATAATGTAGCATTCAAATGGTAAAAGAATGTTTAAAACCGTCCAGTACTTTTTAAGCCAATTCGTTACAAACATACTTACATACAAATTTTTCCTCTTTATAATATTAGTATAGATTTAAAAAAATATGATTGTGTAATCGTATGTTTGAGAACTGATTTTACATACAATCTTCTTCTTTTCCTTATAAATTAAAAAAAAATGCTTGAGTGTCGTGGAACACTCAGTTGGAAGTTGAAAATATTTATTTAACACGGACTACGAACTGTGCCCGTACCACTCCACAATTTACTTTATATCACGTATTTTATCGCGTCTAAATAGTCTAGTAAATTGACAATTATGCGTGATAAAAACACGTTATAATGTTATACCGCGGTGCTCATGCTAGGGGGGCTGGGTCCAGTGTCCTCTCCGTATCAATATCAATATCTCCGTATTCCATAAGAAAAGTATTCTACCTACCAATCCGCACTGGGGCCGCGTGGTAGGCCATAACACGATCCCCCGATCCCGCCAGACTGTTAAACAAACCTTGGAACTACGTCCACACCTCGACCCAGCCGTGGCCATCAGTCATCCGTGGCCCAGCCAGCTGCTCATCTAGCTCGGGATATGATATTCTTAATATCTTATATATAAAATTCTCGTGTCACAATGTTAGTTACCATACTCCTCCGAAAAAGCTTGACCGATTTTTATGAAACTTTATATGCATATTCACTAGGTCTGAGAATCGGATACTATCTATTTTTCATACCCCTTAGTGATAAGGGTTGTACACCCCTAACATTTTTTTAGATTTTGGTTTATTTTTTTTTATTTTTTTATAATGTGGCATTAAAAATACATGCAGCTCTAAATTTCACCCTTCTACCACCCATATTTTTATCAGACAGAATTTAGTTTACCTCGTCATAAATCTCGATTTAGCGAAGGGGGAAAAAACACGGTTGTACTGATGACGTTCAATTGTTTCCAGGTCAATGGAAGACGTTAAGCAAAGATGCTGTGCCCTCCCAGAATCTGCCGAAGCTGGATGCTGACGGCAATGTGATGGTGATCAGGAAAAGCCGCACCGTAAAATACAGGGAGAGCAGAAAAGAGGAGAACTGGTGAGAGATTTTTTTGAAGTGAAAACTTCTTTAGCGGCGGCGGACACGTGGGCTGATCGCGTCATGACACGTGGCCTGATCGCGGGTCTGACGAAAACAATAAAATTGGGAAGGTTGACTTTCAATATATTGCACGAAACATAGTAATATTTTATTTTATCGTATTATAATAGTAAGTCTCTATCTAGGACGTCCAAGTAGCAGCTTTATTGCGAAGAAAATGCATTTTTTTACAATGGATGTCGCTAGGTGCGCTTAAATGTGTTTCATGTAAGTTGATTTTTTTTTCCATAGATGTCGCTAAGTGCGCTTAAACGTTATTCATGTAAGTTGATTTTGATCTGAGCGATAAACTTTTTTTAATGTAATATAAATTTTCATGTTTGTGTACGATAGGGCAATAAATAAATATTGTATTCTACCACATACATGATAGTACTTTTATACTGATAATTAAAGCAATTCGTGCAAAATTATTCCCTAACCATTCCAAAATATCAAAAAAACACAACGTTAATATTCAAGTTTTCACTCCCGCAGTGCAACCCGTCGTTTTTTTAAAAGTGCAACTTTTATTACACTGTTATCGGACTAATACGTGCCGAAAACCTACAAAAAATGATGGCGCTGCCTTGCAGCTTAAGGCTAGGAAAATTTCGACGCGGCCATCAGGGCCGTGGTAGCATAATTGGTCAGTGCATTCGCCCGGATTGCGAAGGGTGCGGATTCGAGTCCCGTCCGCTGCCTGGTCCGCGTGGATTTTTTTTTCTAGTAACACTTTTCTTTAGATTTAAACATCTAGCAGTTAAATGCTTAAAAAAATAAAAACATAATTATAGTTTATTTATGGCATTTCTGAGGACTTGTACTTTCTTTGAATTAAACAAGTTTCCGAAAAAAGGATGACATAGGAGTAGGGCTGCCCTGCCATCCGTCCGGGTTTCCCCGGATTTGTCCTAGTTTACGGGGCGTCCGGGGCGCGTCCGGGCGGCGTATTATTTGTAGTCCGGGTTTAAAAATTTACGGCAACGCATGAGTGGCCCTTGGTGCTGCAAGTGTCCATGGGCAGCAGTGACCACTTATTATGAGGTAGACCGCTAGCTCTTTTGCCTAGATCAACATAAAAAAGTTGATTCTTGACATTTTTAACTGTTTTTTTATTTGTCTGTCCGGGTTCTGGGCTTCAAAATCCGGGGTTATCACGCGTCTTATCCTGGTTGCCACATTTTAGAGATGGCAGCCCTACATAGGAGCATAGAATGAGTAAAATTATATTTTATGTGCCCGCTTTTAAAGGCCGGCATTGCATTTGTGATATTCCTGGTGTTGCAGGTGTCTATGGTCGCCCATAGCCCAATTTTGGGCAACAAGTTTCTTTGAAACTAGAATTAGAAAAAACATTGTCCGCCTCTCCTCTTAATAAATAATTTGATTCAAGTTGCTGAGTGCAACTGTGAAGTTAACATTATCTTAGCTGTGATCTGAATTATTTTTAAATGAGTTTATTTTTAAGATAAACAATTAAATTGCATGTATTCGGTGGAGGTCACTGCCCTCCGCCGCTTAATTAGGTGATAAAAAAAATGTATTTTGGGTCTTCATTTCATAGTATGTAACAATAAGATTCTATTATTTTGACGACCTCCCTAAAGTTCAGCGTTGCCAGATTTTTATATGCCAAATCGGGAGTTTTTAAATATGTATCTTTTTATTTGAGTTCTAATTACGTTTACGTGACAATAGATATAGTAGGGGAGCCCAAGCAGGTATTTTTGGATTTACTCGAGCGCGGCAGGATAACATATGGGGAGCAACCTTACACCTAGTTAAGTATTCCCACTATACCTGAGCCCTCTATGTAGGGCCGAACGTCTAGGGCAGCAAAAACAAAATTTCAACGAACGGTCATGACTAGCTCGCGCCCAAATCGTCAGTCTTTTGAATAAATAATAAATAAATATTTCCGACACTCACACCAATTAGCCTGGCCCCAAAGTAAGCACTATAAGGCTTGTGTTATGGGATTCTAGGGTAACGGATAGAATACATATACTGTACATATATAAGTATATTTATATAAATACATATTAAACATCCATGACTGGAGTACAAATGCTCGTATTCATCACACAAACATCTGCCCCCACCGGGATTCGAACCCGGGACCTCTCGAGTCGGCGACAGCCATGAAACCCGGCGTACAAACCACTCGGCCACGGAATCGTCAAATATAAGCAGCATAGAAATAAGCATAGAATATAAGCTACTAAAGGGTTCATGTAACGTTTCTAAGAACGGAAAAAAGATTGATCTGCCGCGGTTTGCATAATATGGGGGTGGCCGTACAAAGGGGTAGAATATAGCAAAAAATAACCGAGCGCGTCAGACATTGAGAAGGGATGTTACGTGAACCGTCCAGTAGCTCCTATTCAAAAGACTGACGATTTGGATCCGACCAAAGGTCATGGCCGTTTGTTGAAATTTTGTTTTTGCTGTCCTAGACGTTCGGCCCTACATAGAGGGCTCAGGTATAGTGGGAGTACTTAACTACGTTGCTCCCCATATGTAATTCTGCCGCGCTCGAGTAAATCCAAAAAACCCCCCTTGGGCTCCCCTACTACAGTGCAACCTCGATGTAACAAACCGGAAGGGAACATGTTAATATTCGTTATGTCGAGTAATTCTTTAAACTAAGGTTTGTTATATTGAGGTTAGGTTGGTCTAAAATTTGTTATAAAGAGGTAAAAAAATAGTTTCCTGGCGTGGCATGAATCACATCATATGGGATTAAGGGCCATATGTTGATGGAATCGTTATATAGAGGTTCTTGGTTGACAAAATTCGTTAATTAGAGGTATTTACTCTTTCTTTTGGTAGTTGAAAATATGTTATAAAGAGGTTGTTCGCAAAAAATGTTCGCAATGTAAAGGTATATTTAACATTGACTCATATGGAAAATTCAAGGGGATTACGAAGAATTTTTTAAATCAAAGAAGTCGTTATATTGAGGTACGTTATATTAAGGTTGCACTGTATTTATTTATTTAGTAACACATGCCGGCTTACAGAAATATCCAAAACGCCGGCAAGTCATACATATAAAAACATTAACATTCATTCCAATTCAACAAAATTAAGAAAAACAGAAAAGAAAAAATAAAAAACAATAAAGTAATGTCAAATATATAAACACCCAGAAACAAAGTCAAATTGCCCACTGTAAAATTTTTAGTTAACTTTAATAATAAAAAAAATAATCATGTCAAAATAATAAACAATTAATAATGTCATATCATTCGAAGATACTAATAGGTATCTAGTAAAAGTATCCATAGAAAATGTATTTTAATTAAAAATATGATATTTTAAATTAGATATACCCTATCGTTAAACAGTTGAATCTTTGTTTGAGAGTTCTTCAGTACGCGCCGGGCAGGTGGCCAAATCCCACCAACCACCCATGGCCTGACGAACCTTCTTGGTTATGCAGGCCGAAGCAACGGGAGATACGCGCGGAATGGCCTCCACCGCGCGTACTTTCTTGACTCCCTACAAATTATTCTTTATCTATCTCCTTGTCCCTATGGTCCCTCTCCCCTTTCTGGGGCGGACGAACACGAAACGCCTTCGTCGCCAATCCCAGCCGTCCCGTGCCCACTCTGAAGTGGTACCGCTGGCTCCAAATTGAATGGTCCTCTTCTTTCTTCGCCTCGGGTCTTCTCTCTTCACCTCTCGAGTCCACTCCGAATCCTGTGCCATCTACGCGCGAAATCCCGCAGCCGCCTGAAGTTCGCCTCCGATCCTACAAGGTCACGATAGTAGACCGGCCCAACCTCGAGCACCTTCACACTGTCCAGAAGTTCCCTACGCGCCTCCCCGTAGAGCTTACACTCCCACAGAGCGTGGTATGCGTCCTCTACTTCTCCCTCCCCGCAGTAGCACGACCCCACCTCCGCGAGCTTCATTCTGTGAAGCCTACCCCTGAAACAGCCGTCTCCCGTCAGCAGTTGCGAAGTTTCATAGTCAGGCTCGACCCGAGTATACTTGAGTCGGGCCTCAGTCGGGCAGGTGGCCAGTCCACACTTGTCTTTGCCACCCGCCCGCGCTTTCTCAGTACGCTGCACGCACGGTCGAGTTATTCCCGAAAAGCGGGATTGAGCCTGTCCCGCGCGGGACATTAAATTTTGTTTTTGAAAACGAGACGTATGGCAACGCTGGTGCTGTCCCATTATGTAACTGTGGCCACAATTCCAACGCGTACAAAAAAATTTGGTGACTCATTTCTTTGTCGCACTATCCGTAAATGGAATTCTCTGCCCGCTCACGTGTTCCCTCCCTCATACAACCTGGGATCCTTTAAAAGAGGCGTGAAGAAGCAACATGCAGGCCGGCAGGGTGAGGATGGCTGGTGTGGCAGGTAGATTCACCTTCATTTAACACCAGGTGGGGTGGAGTCATTTGTCGGACCTGTAGACTGTATACGTTATTTCATCATCGTCATCATCAACAGCCTATTAATGTCCCCACTGCTGGGGCAAAGGCCTTCCCTATGGATGGAATAGGGAGATTGGGCCATGACCCACCACGCGGGCGACTGCACCTGGAGCTGGAACCAACGGCTTAACGTGTCTTCCGAAGCACGGAGAAACTCGAGATAGTAAAATTTTGGTCACCCATCCAATGACCGACCACTGCGAAAGTTGCTTAACTTCAACGATCGCAGCCGAACGCGCTAACCACTTGCGCCATCGAGCTACGTTATTTACGGGATTGTTACCATGTACCTTGTTTTAAGCGAGTTTCCGATATTTCGGCACTGTTGCAAGCGCCATGATCACGGAGTTACTGCAATCCCCTAAATAACGTATATTACTTATAATGTTAGTGACCATGAAAGTTTAAAACAATATATTTTAAACTGTGTTTTTTTTCTTAGCGAGAAGACTGAAAGCAAGTGGGTGTTGCCGAGCCAACAAGCCTTACCTCTTACTGTGGCGTCAGACACTCAACAAAGCACTATGGCCGAGCCACAGGATGCTGGCGTAAGTAAAATCATCTACACTTTTTTTTTATAGCGGGGTAGGCAAATGACAAGACTCTCGTAAGAACTATCGACCCATATCCCTTCTGAGCCACGTCTATAAGCTGCCCGTGCTTACGCAGCTGCTGCCGCCAGCCGGCCTGTCGATGTTCAAGCAAAAGAGAAGAGTAGCAATCCCTGTGTAAAACGTGTTACTCCGGCTGCATCACAAAAGCAGATTTGCGACGAAGAGAGCTTCATCAAGGTGGAAAGGAAGAAGAAGAAGCCCGCTCGCCGCAATTTGTGTGGTGTTGCCCCGACTGGACCGAATCACCTGCTGAGTGGCGGCAATACCGACGACGCCGCTATACGTGTCCCGACTGCATTACTCTACGAAGGAAGAGGAGATCGTGGAGTACCTGCGGATTAAGACCAAGTTCTCCCTGAGAGTCGTACGGTTGGAGTCCCGTCACAATGTAAATTTTAATTCATTTGTGGTGAGGGTGCCGACTGAACACCTGGCGACTTTCATGAAGGAGGATCTTTGGCCGAAAGGTGTAGTGTTTTGGCGCTTCCGAGGTCGGTTACCTGACACCACTTCGCGTCACACGTCGCCGTCTATACGTGTTAGTTATGTGTTTACTAACATCTATACTTATAATAAATCTGTAGAGAGGTCAATTCTGTACATGAAATATATTTTCAAAATAACTATCAGGGGGTGATTAGTGGTCGATACTGATGCCAAAAATGCAATCAGTAAAATTTTAGTCTGTCTGTCTGTCTGTCTGTGGGTATGTTCCTTATAGAAACAAAAACTACTCGACGGATGTTAACGAAACTTGGTACGATTATTCTTCATACTCCTGGGCAGGTTATAGTATACTTTTCATCACGCTACATTAAATAGCAGCAGAGTAGTGAAGGGAAATGTTGGGAAAACGGGAGAAGTTACTCCATTTTTTAAGCTTCCGTCGCGTGTGCAGCCTTAATGGTTAAAGTTACATAGAAATCATGTATGACGGAAATATTCTACATAAAATTGGCTAAAAAATATCCTGCAACAGCATATGTTTATCTTTTATGGTTGACTCACAATAACACGTGTAATTATATAAATAAAGTCATTGTTTACGCACAAGCCTGAGAACAAAAACTATACACACTACAGCTCTACACCGAAGCGAAGGGAGGGCGGGCCACTAGTAGTTAATAATTTTATTTACTAACAACAATGTTTTATATCTGTATATATGTTAGACTATAAGGTATTTATCTATGGGCCTATGTAGCCTGATTATAAACAAAACAATAAAAAAAAATAAGCTGTTCTCAAGAGTGATCGTGAACCGTCTTGCGCGAAGACTTGATGACTTCCAACCACCGAAACAGGCTGGATACGGCACCATATACCACATTCACACAGTGCGGCAGATTATACAGAAGACTGAAGAGTACAATCAGCCCCTGTGTCTAGCATTTGTGGACTATGAGAAGGCCTTTGACTCGATTGAAATCTGGTCTCTCCTGGAGTCCCTGCAGCGTAGCCAAGTCGACTGGCGATACATCCAAGTGATTAGATGTCTCTACGAAGCCGCCACCATGTCTGTCCAAGTACAGAATCAGCAAACAAGTCCCATACCGTTGCATCGTGGAGTGCCACAAGGGGACGTTATTTCCCCGAAATTGTTCACTAATGCAATGGAGGATATGTTCAAGACGCTGAATTGGAAAGGACGTGGCATCAACATAAATGGCGAACGCATCTCTCACTTGCGATTTGCAGACGACATTGTCATCATGGCAGAAACCCTGCAGGACCTATAACAAGTGCTGAATGACTTGGCTGACTCTTCTATACGCATCGGCCTACGGATGAACTTGGATAAAACCAAGGTCATGTTCAATGAACATGTTCTACCGGAACCGATTGCAATACACGGCGCCGTTCTCGAAGTTGTTCAAAAATATGTATACCTCGGGCAGACATTGCAGTTAGGTAGAAACAACTTTGAGGACGAGGTGAATAGAAGAATTCAGCTAGGTTGGGCAGCGTTAGGGAAGCTAAGTCAAGTCCTGACATCGTCGATCCCACAGTGCCTAAAGACGAAAGTCTTCAATCAGTGCGTCCTACCTGTGATGACATGCGGAGCCGAGACGTGGACACTGACGGTACGGCTGGTCCACAAGTTCAAAGTCGCTCAACGCGCTATGGAAAGGGCCTATGCTCGGCGTTTCTGTGAAGGATCGCATCAGAAATGAGGTAATCCGACAGAGAACCAGAATTATCGACATAGCCCACCGGATTAGCAAGTTGAAGTGGCAGTGGGCTGGCCATATTTGCCGAAGAACCGATAACCGTTGGGGTAGACGAGTTCTGGAGTGGAGACCGCGTCTAGGGAAACGTAGTGTAGGACGTCCTCAGGCACGATGGAGTGACGGTTTCCGCAAGGTGGCTGGCAGGAGCTGGATGCGAGTAGCCCAAGATCAATCTGAGTGGCGTGCAATTGGAGAGGTCTACGTCCAGCAGTGGACTAGGATAGGCTGTTGATGAAGGCAAATGACTCTACCCCACCTGATGTTAAATGGTGATAAAGTCCAAACGCGAAGATAGCGGGTATAGTAGTTATAAACTGCCACACCAACCATCCTCACCTTGCCGGCCTGAAAAAAATATTCTTCACGCCTCTCTTAAAGGCGTCTTTCTTAAACATCAGAACCTAACTAAAGTGAATTTTACTAAGAAAAATTTCCACTCGAATCAACGATTAAGAAATGATATGGAAGCATGAGGAGCTCCACGGCGAAGGTGGTTAACGCGTTCGGTTGCGATCGGTGAAGTTAAGCAATTTTCATAGTGGTCGGTCATTGGATGGGTGACCAAAAATCTTCTATATCTCGAGTTCCTACGTGCTTCAGAATGCACGTTAAGCCGTTGGTCCCGGCTACATCTGTAGTTGTTAGCATCCACCAATCCGCACCTGGCCCGCGTGGTGGGCAATCTCCCTATTCCATCCATAGGGAAGGCTTATGCCCCAGCAGTGGGGACATTAATGCATGCATGCATGCATTCAGCAGCCGCAGATGAAGCCGGGACCAACAGCTTAACGTGCCTTCCAAAACATGGAGGAGCTGGAGATAGTACATTTTTGGTCACCCGTCCAATAATAGACTACAGTGAAAGTGGCTTAACTTCAACGATCGCAACCGAACGCGCTAACCACTTGCGCCATCGAGCTCCTCAACAAACTTTACGTGTTATTAATATAGTCAGTGTCCGTCCGTTATTGGGTAACAAACATTCACACATACAAACGTAATATTGATATTTGTTTTTCGTTTTCAAGTTGCGTAACGTATAAAAAGTGTAAACTATTACTTGGATTGAGATCGTGTGCTAAATATAGTCCAAATCGTATAACAAACATACAAACTTTCCCATTTATTCAACGATATCAAATACCCAGATACACCACGTGCGCTCAAAATGTATCCCAATCAAGAAGTGCTTGAACAACACTCAAGCACTACTTGGGTCACAGTCACGCGCGGACTGTTGAAAAGTCAAGTTGCAGCAGAACTCCGTGGAAAAATGCGAAAAAAATATTTATAGTATGTAAAGTGTCGTTTTTTATATGTGGACAGGTATCTAATTAATGTTTGTTAATTTAAGGTCTTTGAAGCAAAAACAACGCATTCAGAATTGCGCGTAGCAACGATATTAAATACGCTAACACGAACAAAATCGTGCCTGAAACCTGTCCAAAAGGTACATTACACGATCCACGGAGTTCTGTAAGATGATCGCGTAGTCAAAATCAATATAAGGCATTATTTAAATATTGAAACTAACCTTTAATACATACTGTATATGGTCTTAAATAAAACGCATGCTTCAAGGACATCTGACAGTTCGAAATGCAAGCTCGTAAAATTTTACGACTTATTGCTATATGCGGAAGAATTTAGACCTTAGTTCTTTGACTCTACGCGTAATTCTGAACGTGCTGTTAGCAATATAGCAGGCACGGACCGCGAGGAAAAGAGACGGCTATATGGCGACGTATAACCGACCATGCATTTGAATATCGCAAATATTTTATATTGAGTCAGTTTATAGTGAGTATTACATCAAAATTTACTTCAAATGCGTTAAAAGTAACAAACATTGACTAGATACCTGTCGAAAAAACGACACTTTTCGTACTCTAAGTATTATTTTCGCATTTTTTCGCGAAGCTCTGTGGCATCTTGACTTTGTAACGGTCCGCGCGTGACTGTGATCCAAGAAGTGCTTGAATGGAGTTCAAGCACTTTTTGATTGGGATACATTTTGAGCGCTCGTGGTGTATCTAGGGTATTTAATATCGTTGGCGGGTAGAGTCAAAAACATAAGGTCTATACTATATTCTTCCGCATACAATAATAAGTCGTAAAATACGAGCTTGCATTTCGAACAGTTATAACTCTTTGACGTATGCGTTTTAATGAAGACCTTATACAGTATGCATTAAAAGTGATTTTCAATGTTTAAACAATGCCTTATATTGCTTCTGACTACACGATCATCTTACCGAGCTCCATGGATCCTCCAATATAATTTTTGGACAGGTTTCGGGCATGATTTTGTTCGTGTTGGTGTATCTAGGGTTTTTAATATCGTTGCGTTTATGATATTAGTATGATAAATTTTGCAAAAGCAATATTAAGAATGATTTTTCTCGTTTTCAGCTCGCATACCGTCTTCAAACTTTAAGCGCAATCGCCACAGCAATATCGCCGCAGTCACAATCGCTGCCTCTCACTCCATTAAAGCCAAAAAAACAGGATGCCATAATGCAGACAGACCCTGAACAATCCGAGGAAGACGACACCCAGAACACTAGTTACGACGGTGAAAAACCGTTCACGGACGACCAGTATCCGATGCAATATCCGAAAGAGCAGGACAACACTAAAGCCTATGACACCCCAAAAGATTATACCAAATCCGAGGAAGATTACATCCCTCAAACCAACGAAGAGTACAACAATGAGGCGGAAAAATACGCTCTAGAAAGGAAATCGCTGAACGGATACGAGAAAATATCCGACGTTTATCCGAATCAAAAAATGGCGCCCGTTGATTATCAGAAAGTAGACATGTACGCGTTTCCGGACAAATATCCGAACAGGACGGACAATTGGTATCCGAACGGGTATCCGGACAGTGTGGAAATGTTAAGGAACCAACAGCACAATCTGCAAATGTTGCAGGAACAACATAGGATTAATGAAAACCAGAATTTCTTCAATGAAAATCATATAAAGCAGGAAGACTTGAGCGCTGAGGAAGATAAGTTTTTGTATGAACGCCAGAAGAATGCATTAGGTGAGTTTTTTTTTAATAAATTTTTATACAACCCTTTATTAAATTATTAAAAAAATGTACTTGTATGGTGAAAATAATAGATCCTTTCGTTATTGAGTCGCAAACATAGTACATTAGGATTTAAAGAAAATAATCTATATATAAAACTCAAAGCTATAGGACATAGTGATCTATCAACGCACAGCCCAAACCACTGGACGGATCGGGCTGAAATTTGGCATGCAGGTAGATGTTATGACGTAGGCATCCGCTAAGAAAGGATTTTGATCAATTCTACCCCCAAGGGGATAAAATAGGGAATGAAAGTTTGTATGAAACTTTGTCAATTTTAAACCGATCGGGCTGAGACTTTGCATGCAGGTACAGTCGCCATCAGATATATCTGAGCATACAAGATGACCAAATACATCTGAACAGTTAAAATGTCAATAAGTTCTATACACTACAAGTGACCATTAATATCTGATCATTCATTACTTCAATAATATCTGAGCAGATGCCTGTCAATAATATCTGAACATACAACTTTTCAAAAATATCTGAACAATTTTAATAGGACCTCTTAATTATTTATTTATAATAAGATGACGCTGGCAGTTAAGCACTTTCCAGTTTTTATTCTTATCACCTCTGTCATGTGTCATGCACAAATAAATTCAAGCAGCTTGCTTACGTATTAGTTCATACCATAAATTAACTATAATTAATATGAGTTCGTACCGTATTGATGCGGAAATGAAACATAAAATAATACAACTAAAAAATTATGGTTTATTCGTAAAAGATATCGCCGATGAGCTAGGGATAGCCGTAAGTATCACGGAGAAAAATGCTAAAAATCAATTGCCCACAAAACATGAAACTTTATTCACAAAGTATAAAATTGTATTTATTTCAGAGAAATACTGTATATTTATGGCTAGAAAGATGGCAGCAAGGAGAAACATTAAATAATCATGTTTCATTTGGTCGCCCGCGTATTACTACAAATAACCAAGACATAGCTATTATAGATAAAGCCAAAAATGACAGATTTATAAACACTACACAATTTTCAAGCACATTCGAAATATCCACTAGCACCATTAGAAGACGATTAAAAGAAGGAGGTTTAAAAAATAGAGTACCAGCAAGAAAACCAACTCTCACGTCAAGGCACAAAATGCAGCGGCTACAATTTGCAGCTAATTATTTAAATTTTAATTTTCAAAACGTTATTTTCATGGACGAAAAGATTTCTGCTCATGGCGACCCGAAAACACACGTTACTTAGAACAAAATGTGCTGCTTAATCGCCGGAGTGGACGTATTTCAATTGGATTTTGGGGAGGGATGTGCAAAGATGGTCCTGGTGAGCTTGTGGAAATAAGTGGACGAATGAATGCAATGAATTATAAGGAACTTCTGGAAGATACTTTTCTTCCTACAGCTCAAGTTTTTTATCCAGAACAACAAATTACATTCCTTCAAGACAACAGCTCAGTACATAATGCTCGTACAGTACTGACATGGATTAATGAACAGAGAGAACTAACTTTAATCAAACTACCACCAAAAAGTCCAGACCTCAATCCCATCGAAAACCTTTGGGGTAAATTGGTGCAAGAGTGGGATGGGAATCAATGTCGAACAACAGAAGCCTTAAGGCGACATGCAAATGATGTTTGGGAATCGTTCAGAGGTCGAGGTTTTTGTGAGAAGGTAGTTGGTTCCATGAGGAAACGTTTACAAGACGTATTAAATGCAGAAGGAGGTTACACAAAATACTAATGTTTCATGAGAAGTATATAATTGGTCAGCCTTTAAATAATTTGGTCGGCACAAAAAGATTTTGTAAGCAATTTAAAAAATCAGGCAGCAATCCTTGTTCGGCAAATAATTATATAATGGTCAAAAATTTAATATGAGAGTATACAAGATGGCTCATTTAAATGGGTCAGTATGGGAAAGTCTGAACTATAATTTAAACGAAGATCTGTTCTTAGGAACTTTGTCATCGATTTTAATAAAAATTAAAACTGCATTCATACATTTAAGAAAAACCCTGTGGTCAGCTCGGGAATCAAACCCGGTCGTTTTGAAAAAAAAACTAACACTATTTCCTATTTCTATTTATTAGTAAGATAAGTTACCTATACGTGTTAAATTTTGTATTAAAAAAACGGTGGTCACTTAGAACCTCTACTGAAATAATTTAAATTATGTGACAAAAATGCGTTTTACTCATTTTAGACATCACATTTAATAGAAACATTTACTGCTTCAGACCTACATAATCGATATTTAAATAGAAATAGTGTGTTTTTTTTTTCAAAACGACCGGGTATGATTTCCGAGCTGATCATAGGGTTTTTCTTAAATGTATGAATGCAGTTTTTATTTTTATTAAAATCTTGTTCCTAAGAACAGATCTTCATATATATTATAGTTTCAGACTTTCCCATCCTGACCCATTTCAATAAGCCAACCTGTATAATGAGAGTGGAGGGTTACCCGGGGAGAGGAAGACCGAAGAAAAGATGGGTAGATTGTGTGAATGAGGACATGGCCAGTAAGGGAGTGAGTGTTGATATTGCGAGTGATAGAGGAGAATGGAAGCGGAAGACATGTTGCGCCAACCACAAATAGAATTGGGAAAAGGGCATGCAAATGATGATGGTCAAAAATGAAATCATAAAAAGGCAGCTTACAATAACATGGATCTGCAAGATTTCATAATCCATGTCTGTACTGTAGATTGGTTAGCAGGAGAAAACATGTCTATAAGCAGTATATTTGAATAGTATGCATATTTAAAAACCAGTCAAGTGCGACTCGGACTCGCTCCGTACCATTATCTAAATAAATATTTTTATATTGAATTAAATGTAAATTGCGGTTGTTTTTTTTTAAATACGTCATATTATTTACAAATAATAAAAAAACAAATTACTTGGCCTCGTTCAAATCAACTTTTGCTAGAAGTTTGCAAGGTAATGTACAGACACGAGCTTTAATCTGGGCCCCACCTTTGAATATCGTGTAGCAATCTGCTGCAAGCTATATAAAGCTAATATTTTAATGCAAAGTCAATGTCATAATGTTTACCATTGACAACTTTACGTTTCTAGGGGCAACCATGCAATTACGTCATCTGAAGCGACAGCAAAAGATCATTTCCGATGTTATGTTATGTTCCGTTTCCGAATTATACTTTGTAAAAATGTCACATTAAACTGTTTTCTTCACTGACACTGACACGAAATAGTATTTTGTAAAGAGGTTATCATTTCAAGGGTCGATTCGTTATGACATTATGTCATCAAAACACTATCAAAGTAAAATATCGACCTTATTGCATTATGAATCCTAACAACATTTAGTGGAAATGGGTCCCATATTAAATTTATAGACCTATCAATTTTATAGACCTATCCATACCCCACACGTAAAGATTTGATTAAAAAAAATTCTAAGTCCATAAGTTTTTTTTTCTATTTTTGTATGAATATCGTTTTTTTGCCATTTGGCTACGAAACCCTAAAAATGGTGAGCAAAATAACTAATTGGTCTGCGTTTTTGTTGAAAAGTCGACAATATACGTTACGGCCGTCTACGTCTGTTAGAAATTCCCGTCTAAATGGGCATTGATAATATTGGGAAATTATTAAGCTAATAATAATACGTTAATTTCAAGAACCTTACTAATTGCCTGATAACTTTTTGATTTGATCTCATGTATAATTATAAGAATAAAACATTTTGTTACTATTTAATTTTAAACTCATTGTATCAGAAGTTGCTTTTTTTTATTTCGATCTCGATTATAATTTTATTATAATAATAAATACTTAAGCTTGAGCATCTACTGAGGTAGGTACCAAGTTAATTCGTTTACATTTTTTGATTATTTAACTCAATAAAAAATTATAAGAATTAAAATTGTTTTTTATTAATTTTCACTTTTATAAATAATACATACCCAAACCAAACAAACACATCCACTCAGACAGTAAATAAATTTTTTGTAAGGATGGCGCCCAGTTTGAGCATGACAAGTACAGAATTCCATTTTCCACTGCAATGGAAATAGTGGAACAAATGTTTCCTCCAAATTATTACTTATTTCTATTGCGGTTAAAAAACGCAGTTGTCTTATTTTAAAATAAATTTCTAAGAAGATATTGAGAATTTAATCTATAGAATAAAATAAAAACATAACTTCTCGTTAATTATAAAAAAAATGGATGCGTGTAACTTATGTACGCGCGTGAGAAGTTATACTTCTTTAGCATCATTAAAAATATTTTTTAATTGCATGCAAATAATTAATAATTACAATAAAATAATAAAAGGACTGGAAAAGGATAGTTAACACAGTCAATTAAGTTCAGTTTTAATTTGAAAAATTAAATAAATATTCAAAATATTCAATTAAAATCACTACTGAATTTAAGTTATTAGTCCATATGTAATTAGCACTTGTAAGTAACTAAAACACGTTGTGTCTATATAGAAACTAGAAACATGTGGATAAATATTATAAATATGAAAACAGTGATCAGAGGCGACGAGCGTGCCAACATTGTTTTTGACAACGCGATCATCTTATGGAGCTCCGTGGATCGTTCAAAGTACCTTTCGAACAGATGTCTAATAATGGTGGATTATTAACCACTAAGTGGTTAATAATCCACCATTATTAGACACTAACATTCATAACGCGCCCGCGGCCAACTTCATGGTGTTACTATTGTGTTACAGTGATGCGCGTGCATCTAAAAATTTCACTCTCATCATTTTTTCATAACGCGCCTAAAGAAGTATAACTTCAAAAATAAATAGAGAAAAAATTAGGCATCTTCCATTTCTACTACTCGTGGTGACCTACACGAATGATTTTCTGATAGATTTTTATTCCCTTCTCATCGTATTTATTCCTTATATTTAGCCTTTGTATTTAGTTCATCCTTTCAATCACGCAGTAACAAAATATGTAAGCCCAGTGCATGATCTGCGTAGATACATAATCATTGACGTGTTCAGATATTTTTGAAAAGTTTTATGTTCAGATATTATTGACAGGCATCTGCTCAGATATTATTGAAGTAATGAATGTTCGGATATTTATGGTCACTTGTAGCGTATAGAACTTAATGAAATTTTAACTGTTCAGATGTATTTGGTCACCTTGTATGCTCAGATATATCTGATGGCGACTGTATAAGAAGGATCATAGATGAATATCATTGTGTATAATACAAGCCTGAGAACAAAAACTGTAGTCTACACTTCAGCTCTACACCGAAGCGAAGCGAGGGCGGGCCGCTAGTTTTATAGATATATTAGCAATATGCATTTTTAATTTGCGATTAAAGTAATATTTTTAAAACAGGTTCTCTATAAATCCTGTCGTTTTCGTACTACCATTATTTTGATTGTGGCATGTTGAAAATTATATGAAACACTTAAGTTATCTTTATTTGACCACCATAATAATAGAAATAAAAAATTAAGGTAATTATAAAGAAACTTAACCTATTACGTTTTGGCGGTAAATTCAAAACCATTAAAAAATTATTCAACTTTAATAAGTTTAATGGAGAAAAAAAAGATATTAATTTATTTATTTATATTTTTCTGTTAAATCGTTTGCCTCAATCTTTAAATATAAGCAGTTTTAAAAAATTTGGAAAATATTCTCCAATGGAAATTGTTATTTATCACAATTAGTTTTATCACGTAATTATTACGAAAACACCGCTGTCACTATGTTATGTAATGAAACAAAGGAGTCAGGCAAACAACTGATTTATTGATACACCCACTGTATATTAATTACAAAATACACATATAATGATTTATTTATTTATTTTGTTATTAATTTTCATGATCTAATAAAGATCAGATGATCTAACAAAGATTTTTATGATCTAATAGCCAACCAGGACACGGTAATATTATCTATACAGTATTGTGACTCGTCCCTGTCCTTGAAATAACTGCCTACGGCCGAGCGGTGCGTTAACACGCGGTAGGGCTGCCCGCCTACAGTATTTTAATTTCATCTACGTTGTTCTTTCCAGTTTTGTGATTGTAAATATTTTATTTCATATGTAAAAAAGAATGTTGTGAATGAATCAGGAAGTGTTACATAAAATGCATGTTATTTAAGTGAATATTTAATAATAAAAAAATATAGGTTTGAGACAGAAAAATCTGTACGCCTCGACTGAGACGTACTAAAAGCTTTATTATTAAATTTAATAGTATAATAAATACGCATTCGTATAAAAAGTTTAATTATTGAAAAGTTCAAGCAACCAAAACCAGCAAGCACAATATCGACTATTGCACTTTGCCATATCAAATTATGAAGGCATCTATTTAATTCAATCAAATATTTACAATACAAATCGCACGTTTAAGCACGGCTTACTCCTTAAAAAACAATTCACACCGTTCGGTCGTCGCTGCGGCGCATTCGCGACTGGGTGTCCCCCGAGAGTCCCGCGAACTCGAGTGGCGTAGGTATGACACGCTTTCCGACCGCTTGTACGAAGATAGAATACTGTATAGATAATATTACCGTGCCCAGGACCTTGTCTTAGTATAAGCTGTCATAGTAAGAAATGATAATACTTCTGTCACTGTCAGCGCTGCTATTTCACTGTATGTTATAAATAAATTTGTATTTCAGATGGTAGTATAGTCCCCGTCCCCCGCTACGGGGACCACAAGAGGGATCACCTCCATCATCATGTCAAACAAGAGCCCGATCACGCATCCGGTAAGTATAATGCGATTTAACTAAGAATAGGACCGACTGGGCGCCATATTGTGACGTCATAGCTGTCAATTCAAACCAAATTCGTAGAGTGAGCAAAAAAGAGTTTTTGTTAAATAAAACTTATTTAATAAGATTAAGTGAGAAAAAACATCTGTTTCTAATGTGAAAACTTCTTTAGCGGCGTTGTACACTTTTTTTGTATGGGTCAGGTTCTCGCGTCAGGTTAAACACGTGGGCTGATCGCATCATGACACACAATAAAATTGGAAAGGTTGTTGACTTTCAATATATTGGACGAAACATAGTAATATTTTATTTTACTGTATTTTAGAATGAATATTGGCAGGGATTTTTACTATTTTCACAAAAAAAATATTCATAATTTTACTAAATAACCTCGAAAAAGATAATAGTTTTCTTATCTATTGTCACGTGACCTAAAACGCTTGGGATTGGCGGAGCCTAAAATGACGTCACACGCAAGTAAACTTCCGGTTAAAGTGTATATTGTATCGTTTGACGTTTTAATAACAGTCGTGTGACGTCACACACTAGTAAGACCCCTTATTGTCCAGAGAAACGTTTTCGCGGCAACTTGAAAATGGAGTTTTTGATTTGGTTATTTTTACTGAAATACACAACAGAATGATGAATATCCACTTTTTACGGACTCCATAAACATTAGTCAATAACGTGAGATCGTTTTCTAAAACTTGTCAAATATTATGTGTTGCATAGTTACTTTAATAAGACGACTTGGTCAGGACATCTTTTAGCTGATGAGAAGAATGGGCACGTGTAACTGGAATAAATAAATAAATAAAAAGGCTATACATTTCCCTAAAAATGGTAAATTTATCTATATATAATTGTTTGTCGCAGGCTGTGATAGCGTTATGCAACCCCAAGGAAGTCCTTTCTACGCTGGAAACGCACACAACAATGTTCCTAGTAAGTAGTACTTAAGTTATAAGTTAGTAAAAGTCTCATGTATTTGAAACTTAACGATTGAGGTATGGCTGGCTGAATTTGAAATTACCCAACTGTGCTAGAAAATTGTTATTTGACTATATATACAGTACAACCCGTTTAAGACGATTTTACAGGGACTCAAACCAAAAACGCGTCTTAAGCGGGAAAGCGTATTATGCGGGATGAGGGAAATTTCGCATGTCGGTATTGAGGTGTTCTCAAACTCAAACTCAAATCATTTATTGCAACCATAATGTGTACAGTGGGTGGTAGGTACTTATATAAATATGAGCATTATGGACCCCGTCGGGCACGCAATTGGTTATTAGAAGAGAGGATGTGGTTCCCAAAAGAACAACACTAATAAAGTTATAATTGGGTGTTAGAGGTTGTTTCATAATATGTTAATAATATAATTATCACTATCTGATTTCATTATAAATATGAATAATAATAATTTCACTAAATAAAATATAATAAATAATAAAATCAATTACTTGTACATGCATATTAATAATTCATAAATAATTCATTCATAAATCTTATCATTAAAATATTCATTCACATTATAATAACATTTATTAATTAGAAATTCCTTTAATTTATTTTCAAATGTCAAGTAATTATTTTCATTCATTATTTTATTGGGCAATTTGTTATAAATTTTAATAGATGAATTAAATGTGCTTGATGATGATAGTTTTAGCCTAGAATTAGGCAATATTAATTTATTGTTGTGTCGAGATGTATATCTAGATGGAATGTCTTGTCGTCTAGTGTAGAATTCGCTATGCTTGCGTACAAACTTACACATTTCTAAAATATACAGACACGGTAGTGGAAGTATCTGATACTCTTGAAAGTATGGTGTTGTTGATATATACAAAATTTAATAATTATTTATGTTATAAAAAATGTAGTGTATTATTATTTATTATCACGTTATTTAAATTAATCACTTATAATAGTTTGTCAAAAAGATTTTATGGCATTAGCAATATGATAAGGTTTTCAACATAATTTAACTTTCACATTGCGTCTTCGCTTTGATTCGAAGAAGTTACATAGCGTCTTAAATCATTAACTGCTGATAATGCCTGGGCGTGTGACAGAATCGGAGTTGACTCATCTTCTTCTTAATCATTATCACTTAGGGCATCTTCTTGTGTGTTATTCATATTCTCATTGAATTTTATACGGTGCCACATTGTCATCAATGGAAGGATATGAAATGAAATGAAAAGTCATTTATTCAGTCTAGGCTGTTATAAGCACTTGTGAAGGTCAAGAAGCTACGCCATCGGTTCGCAAATCTAAGGTGGGAGACCTTGTACTGAGAAGAACCGGCAAGAAACTTAGCAAGGGCTGTTTTTTTTCTCCCTGTATTATATACAGAGTCGTCAAGTTGAAAAATGACTTCAGAGATACGTCTGAAGTGAAATGGAAGGTTCCATTACATCATTTAGAATATAAATATATAGTTACAATAAATTTTATGGTTAACAATATATTTAGTATATAGGAAGCGGCGTTAGATAGGTACAATATTACTGTTATGAAAAATGACTAATACCTATTAAATATCAAATTATAAGAAACACTATGTCCATGCATTACGATCATTCAGATAATCGTCCACTTTATAATAGCCCTTATTCATAAGAGTACTTTTGATCTGCGATTTAAATTTAGTCAGTGGAAGCTCAATCAGATTTAGGGGAACTTTATTAAACAATGCAATACTACAACCCAGAAATGAACCTCTTGATTTTTGGATATCCTGGAAAACCCTGGGGGCCCCTTAGCGTGTGTTGCTTGACAGTCGTCACTTCAATAGTGTTTGCGATTTAGGCGTATTAAACGAATGATGAATCGTATTAAGCGTTAATAAATGTATGAAAACATGCCTCAAGTTGCAGGGACTGACGCAAAATGGCGTATTATGCGAGAAATCGTATTAAGCGTGATCGTATTAAACGGGTTCTACTGTATATATGTATTTTTGAAGTTAAACTTCTTTAGGCGCGTTATGAAAAAATGATGAGAGTAAAATTTTAAGATGCGCGCGCATCACTGTAACACAAAATTTTAACAGCATGAAGTTGGTCGTTTTAGCGACCAACTTCATGCGTTACTTTTGTGTTTACCGCACATTAAGAAAATCTACCAACAAAATAGAAATAGAATCTATTTAGTGGGTGCTAACGACTGCATTGTGAATGCCTATCAAAAGTATTTATTAATTTGGAACAACGGAACCAAAGCGCGATTCAGGAGACTACAGCGCCATCTCTTGACCATTGGTGTAGTAGAACCAAAAACCACATCTTTATTGAAGTTATACTTCTTTAGGCGCGTTATGAATAAATTATGAGAGTGAAATTTTAAGATGCGCGCGCATCACTGTAACACAAAATTTTAACAGCATGAAGTTGGTCGCTTTAGCGATCAACTTCATGCTGTTACTTTTGTGTTTACCGCACATTAAGAAAATCTACCAACAAAATAGAAATAGAATCTCTATTTAGTGGGTGCTAACGACTGCATTGTGAAGGCCTATCAAAAGTATTTATTAATCTGGAACAACGGAACCAAAGCGCGATTCAGGAGACTACAGCGCCATCTCTTGACCATTGGTGTAGTAGAACCAAAAACCACATCTTTATTTTTCAATGTTACTTTTATGTTATTATTGTAATAAAGTAACAGTTATAGGTATTCATATTTATAATATTTATCCACATGTTTCTAGTTTGTATATTCGGAATACGTGTTTGAGTTTCATACAAGTGCAAATCACATAATATGTTCTAATAAATTATATTCAGTAGCGATTTTAATTGAATATTTTGATTATTTATTTATTTTTTCAAATTAAAACTGAACTTTATTGACTGTGTCCTTTTCCAGACTTTTTATTAATTTATTGTAATTAATTATTTGCATGCAAATTAAAAACTAATTTTAAACGATGCCAAAGAAGGATAACTTCTCACGCGCCTACATAAGTACACGCACCCATTTTTTTTTGTTATCAAACGCTTATATATTTATAATTTGATTTTTTTAAGCATTTAACTGTTCGATGTTTAAATCTAAAGAATATGTAAAAGAATATTTAAAGAATATCATTTGACATTGTGGGTTACCTACAATGCGAAGAGATGGCGCTGCCTTGCAGCTTAAGAAAGGCTGGAAAGAATTCGACACGGCATTCAGGGCCGCGGTAGCATAATTGGTCAGTGCATTCGCCCGAATAGCGAATGGTTCGGGTTCGAGTCCCGTCTGCTGTTATGTCGCGTGGATTTTTTCTAATAAAAATTTTCTTTAGATTGATATGTTAATGTTTGAGGAGCTCTATGGCGCGGGTGGTTAGCGCGTTCGGCTGCGATCGTTGAAGTTAAGCAACTTTCGCTGTGGTCGGTCATTGGATGGGTGACCAAAAATTTGCTATCTCTCACTCCTCCGTGCTTCGGAAGGCGCGTCAAGCCGTTGGTCCCGGCTGCATCTGCAGTCGTTAGCACCCACCAATCCGCACTTAGCCCACGGTCCAATCTCCCTATACCATCCATTGGGAAGGCCTGTGCCCCAGCAGTGGGGACATTAATAGGCTGATGATGATGATGATGATGTTTTGTTTATATTTAAAAATGGATATCACACTTAACTCCATAGGATCTAGCTATTTCAAGGTCCTTCGAGCCAGATTACTGTGATCTAGCTATTTCAAGGTCCTTCGAGCCGGATTACTGTTTTGAACAAAAAGTGATATTTGTTTCTTAGGTTCGTAAATAAAGTTCGTGCATTAATCCGTTAAAACTAGTTTTATTTAATGAGCGATGTGCATGAAATCACTCATTAAATAAAACTAGTTTTAACTATTATGTTAATGTTTGTCCCAAAAGGTGGTTACTACCACGAGCCATTGTCTCGACCCGGGCCGGAGCTGTTGATCGCCAAACAAAACGCATTAGCTGCGCACACGCAACTATGTAAGTATATCATCGATACACTACCCGTTATACGAGCTCCGTGGCCGAGTGACTTGTACGCCGGGTTTCATGGCGTCTCGCCGACTCGACAGGTCCCGGGTTCGAATCCCGGTGGGGGCAGATGTTTGTGTGATGAACACGAGCGTTTGTACTCCAGTCATGGATGTTTAATATGTATTTCTATATAAATATACTTATATATGTACTGTATATGTATTCTATCCGTTACCCTAGTATCCCATAACACAAGCCTTACAGTGCTTACTTTGGGGCTAGGCTAATTGGTGTGAGTGTTCGAAATATTTATTATTATTATTATAATAGGGGTGATGACGGGGTCACAGTAAACGAAATTCCATTTAGTCCGTCAGTTAGATGATCAAAAAATGATGGACACGTATTTTTTCTTTGGGCAATCAACCAAAAAATGACAAAGTTACAGCGCGTCAAAGTTTGGGAGTAGGGGCTCATGACGTCACTTTTAAGTGAAAATTACATAATTACTATATATATAAATACTAGAACAATAAAACTAAAAATCTTAAACATAAAATTAATAACTAAAATCTGTTATTAAAAAGAGTCCCTTTAGGCAAGGATACTGGCAGCGTTACCCCTTTGAATAGCTAGACTAATTCTTTGTCCGAGGTAGCTGCCAGCTCTTCGGTCTCCTGTAAAAATTGTACCAAAACGTGACGTCATGCGACTTTTCAAATCAATATGTCTCTGCAATGTTTATATTATGTGAAAAAATGAAAAATGCGTGTACCAATACTTTTTGATAATCTACCTGATAAACGAAGAACAAGAAATTAGTCATCATCCCTATTGAGGAGCTGGCGAACAAAACGCTATAATTACATATAATTGTCTCATTTTTTTTCTTGATCGTTTAAAAAACGATTGAAGGAACACTACCCTTCTATCTGAATTTCTAAAAAATTATTTCATCTTGTTACTCTTTATTAATTTTATATTGTTGTATAT